TCCGGAATTCTTCCATATCTATATCCATCTGGCCAGCTTTTCTCTTTCTCTTCAACTCTTCCTCATCCCACACGCTGTCTTCCCTTTCAAGCAACTTTCCACTCAGTCACCATTAAACTTCAATAATTATCTTTTTTGCCTTACAGTCTCTCATTGTCCCCTTTCTTCTCGCTTACCAATAGTCCATGTGAACAGGAAGCTGTGTAGCTCTTTCCCCCCCATAGGTAATAGCAAAAAAAACCCCTTGCAATTATGTCCACTCCTTTTCCCGGCCTTTTTTCCCTTCGATAAGGACACAATTCTTTAGTTGGGGGGGGCCCTCTCTTATTCAACCGCACTTCTTTTCTGTGTTCCTCTGTTACTGCAGTCTGTAATCCGTTTACAAGCCTTGCTAAAAACAACGGGTGGCCGCGTCTTGTGGAGCATGGTCGCCATGTTCCTCCTAACCGATCACCTCGGCTTCGGGGCTGTTCCGGACACACACCCCCGCCCTGCCGATTGCGGGGGAGGGCCAGAAAAAACGCCCCCTGCACCAGCTCCCTCCACCGGGGTGCTGGACGAGCTCTCCCAACAAGCAGGAGGCTCGTACAAAGCGAAAGTAGTTTGAGCGGGGACGGAGCAATCCAAGCTCCCGCCCGCCCGTCGACGCGCCGTACCGGAAACCCTCCACTGTTGCCAATCTCCAGGGGGCTAACGATCACTCAGAATTACAGCTGCTCTCCAGTTGGCATTGATCTGTTCCCCTGGAGAAAATGGTGGACTCTGTGTCCTTATACCCTGCTGAGGTTGCCATGGCAAATTGATGCTGAGTGCCCACGGTCTTGGCACTCTCCCAGAGCCTCTTTCTAGTGCTCATTGTATTTATTTCCACAATGGGCCTTATTCCTAGTCAATAATAAGACCCAGTGTGTGACCTGCTTGATGTGTAGGGGTCGATACAAATTGGGAAAGTCCCAGTGCCACCATGGATGACAGTAGGTCCCTGGCCTGAGAGGAAGCCATATCATCAGCATGGACATTGAAATCCCCCAAGCCTAATAGTCTAGGGTGCTCCAGTGCCTAGCCTGAGACAGCCTCCAACAAGCTTGGCAGGGTATCTGTTGGTGCATTAGGTGGTCAGTTCACCAACCAGATAGCCAGAATCTCTTTGGCTTCCCACACAAGGCCAGCGCATTCAATGCTGGCAGTTTTTGGTGCAGGAAGCACTCTGAAGGAAAAAGACTCCCAGATATACAGCATGCCCAAATAACAACATAAAGAACAAGATTTAAAATGTTGAGTTTAAAGCTATGAGACAAAAAAAATGAGTTTGACCCACCAAAGGGCATAAGAGGGAACCTTTTGGTTCATGCATATATCACTTGTGCTGGAAGCAAACACTAGTAATAAAGGTTTTATGAGTGGAATCCCCTGCATCTTTTGCAGTTGTCTGTTGTCAATTTTTTCTCTCAACTAATGGGTAAGAGGGAATCAGTCCAGTTGAGAAACAGTGGAGATCAGATAGGCTTAGGGTTTGCAAGGGAAAGGACAAAAGTATTTCTCCCTCCTTGTGCTGGAACATAAGCTGATCATTAAGGTTGGACTGCCCATCCTGATTCATGCTGCATTATTGAAGTAACCAGATACAATATGTGAGTTTTTCAGGTCTTCAGTTTGGGGCTGAAAAAGTATCCTGTCTTCTTTGTCTCCCCACAGAATTGAATGGAAACATTTTTAACAGTACTTCTGTGCTTTGGAATCACAGCAACCTCAGACAGTGATAATCATGTTATTGTAGGCACAGGACATGAGTTAAGAATACGGTGTCAGACTATTGGATTTAGACATTTAATATCATTTCTATAGATTTACTATTAGTTTTTCTGAAAGTTTACAAAGCATCATAAAATAATATGTTGCTCTGATGGTACTGGACTGAAGCAGACTAGCAGTCTGCTCAAATAAATAACATTGTTTGGATTTTGTCTGTTACAGCTCAGTCCTTTTGTCTACAGTGAATTTGCAAGAGAGAGAAATCTTCATGTGTCACTACTTGATCGTCTCTATGAACACTATCCTGCAGAATTTCCATGCAGGATCTTGCTGTGTGAAAACTATCGCTCCCATGAAGCTATCATCAAGTAGGTGTGAATTTTTTCACTGTATCACATTTTTGCTTCCCTGGTGCAAGTGTCTAATAGAAATACTTTAAAAATCTTTTGCCACTAGACTCCTAAGTGTGGTTAAAAAGAGAAGTGTATTCACCTAATAGCATAATAAGATACTCCTGTTTTTGTATGCTGAAAATTAGCAAGTAAGAGACTTCTTCAGAGGCTTAACAGAACAGAATATTTTGGCTTATTTTATGTGATGCTATTGAACCCAAGAACATAGAGCAAACTGTTATTTTGATGGTCTGGCTGATACATTCATTCTTCTTTCTAATATCAATTCCAAATATTTTGTGTAAATAGTAACTTGTGTTGAAAGGCAGCTTGAATTATCTTGTGAAAACGGTTATAATTTGTAGAATATGTACAGCAAGGGAGCACCAAAATTGATCAGCTGCACAAGGTATTGGAAGTGGCATTTACTTGCAGGCCCAATTTGTTTACATCTAGATAGAATCAGAGTCCATTAATCAAGCTCCTGATTTTAGTACAAAAGCAGAGTCCTAAAAGACCAGTGGTCAGAGCCAGGAAACCAGGCATGGAGGATGAACCTCAGGAATAACCATCCATTATTCAGGTCGATGATAGAAATTACAAAATGATCCAAGTGCAGGTTGTAATGTAAGAAGGTGAATCTGGGGAATATTGTTAGGTTAGAAGCACAGAACAAATCAGGAAGTAATATACTTATCTGCTTGTTTCACAAACAGGATGCGTGGAGGAACAGTAACTTTATAGTGGACAGAACTGAAGGTCAGTCAATTGGATACTCATAGGTTGAGTAATAAAGAGAGGGTAGTGGGTTCAGGAGTTTCCACAAATAGACTGAGGAAGCATAATTGCAGCAACAAGGAATAAAATTCTTAGCAGTTATGCAGAACATTGCAGTTGTTTACAGAATAATAATAGTCCTTACATGAAGCTTGTGGAGTTAGTCATTATTATCATATTACTGCAGATGAGAAAATGCTAGGTTACCTTAAGCCACCTAGTGAGTTCATGACTAAGACAAGTTTTGAATTGGGAACTTCTTGAATCATGCTCTTAACCACTATGCTGAGAGACTGTGACTCAGTGACAGAGCATGTGCCTTACATGTAGAAGTTCATAAATTCAATCCCTGGCTATTCAACTTCAGTTCAGTTCAGAGAGTAGTGGGTTGTGAGAGTAGACAATACAGAACTCGATGGACTATGGCGTGACTTACTATAAGAACTTCACACATATATTCATATATACCAGTAACATGAGCTTGAGGCTGGCTGCCTCCTGATGCTGGATGTTTAACAAAGTCTTATTTTTTTTAAGTACCCGAGGGTACACTTTTATTGTTTTTTACATTATATACTACAAACATACATACAGACAACATCCAACTACCCCCAACAACATATAACATATAACAAGAGACTTTTATCACTTCTTCTGCTTATTAAATTTCTAAATTCATTATCTATTTTACTAAGCTTATCTTTTCTGCATTCTCAAATTACTACATTTATCTATCAGTTGCGTTTACGTTATACCAATCATAAAATCTCTTCCAAGTTTTTTGAAAAGTCCATTCTGTGCCGGCTCTCATCTCAAGTGTCCGTTTGTCATTTCCCCCCGTTTCAAATAGGGTTTTTTTGTTTGTTTTTTTAATTTTAATTTTCATTTTTCCATAACATACACTCCATATATTTTCCAACATTCTGGGGTTACATTAGACATTTTCTTCAATCCACTTATTGACTTTTTGCCATTTTTGCTTAAAGTTGCTTTCTGTTTTTCCCGCCAAGTACATATTCAGCTTATCCATTTCTATTATTTCAAAAAGCTTCGTAATCAACTCTTCCATAGTCGGTATTCTGTCTGTTTCCCAATTCTTTGCTATTGTTATTCTTGAGATTGTAATTATGTACAGTATAATAGATAACTCATTATGTTTAATCCCCTCTGGTGTGATATTAAGTAAAAAGATTTCTGGTGTGATTGGCAAATTGATTCCTGTGAT